GTAGCTTCAATGCTTCAAGTGATGTATGGGCATTCACAGATTAAAACCATGGCTCTACAGCACAGTTGTAATTCAGATCCCATCCAGCCTGTAAAGAAAGAGTCCTGATTACCATAATGCCAGTTACAGCGCTAGTGTCAGGATGAGTTCAACAGCATCGTCTGCATGTCTGCTGCGAGGTATGTGCTGAAGTGTTTTGTTGAGTCAGGGCCTTTAAATCTTTATATATTTTTAGGTCAAGGATCTCATTTTAGCTGAGTGTCTTACCATTGCCTTCCACTTTTACCTTTGCACGTATGCGCGGTACAAGTTGACGCCTCAGTAAAGTGGATACCACCTATGGTCAAATGTAATTGCAGTGAAATCATGGCACTGCTCAGGCTTAAGAGCAAGATAAACTTCCCTGGTTCTTGAGGGCTGAGAACAATTTACAACAGGGTGCTGTAAGACCCTGTGTGCAGCCTCTTACCCCATGTGGTGGAAGAGGATTAATCCATCCATTTGGCATAAATTCCAACTGGAAGGACATGTAGGGATCCAGAGACGCTTTGCTGCAGGAGTATATAGTGGAGGCAGATACCAAAACTTGCATCTAGAGTCTGTATCAACTGCTTTGGTTTGAAAATGTTCTCCTTGTCAAGGGCAGGTTCTTTAAATTTAAGCTCTGCACGGAGGTCCCTGCAGTCAGTGTTGTTCTGTGCAGGTGTTAATGCTGACATTAGGCTTGGAAATTTCCTCCGTTGATCAGCAGCACATGTTCTGCCATATCTTTCTGACGCAACCATTAAATTAACAGCTTCCTTTAAGTGCGCTGGAGGTTAACAGGATGTCAATGCATAAAACAAGTTTTCTTAATATCAGAGTAGAGCTTTTGTTATCCCTACTTGTCACAGTGCCAAAATCAGAAAGGTGTTTCTGCTCACAGGGCATTCCATCCCCAAACTGGTGTAATTGGTCAACACCCTTCCACTGATTCCCAGGGCTTTGGGGTCAGCCCTTGAGCATGGAACAATTTGACCCTCCTGGGTTATCTAGAAATCGTATTTGGAAAATCTGCGTAGAGCTAATTCAGTGTGTTTTTTCTGGTGCTTTTAGTTATTAGCAGATTAATACCAGTAAATATTAAAGAGGGTCATGTAAAAAGGGATAAGCACTCTAGCTTTTGCCAACAAACCACTTAAGCACATGCTTAGAGATAAGCACACATTAAGGTAAACGGAACTGCTCATAGGCTTGGTGTTGAGCATACATTTAGGGGTTCTCAATTTGAAGAAACTCATTGCTTGAAATCATCATCTTTTATCTTTAATAAATGGAAATTAGATTCTAGTATCCTAATTTTTTTAAACAAAAAAAATTACTAAAAGGAAAAAACACAGTAGGAAAAAGGAGATTATCTAATTTGAATAGTGTAAAAAGGAAAGAACGTAACTTCAAGAAACATTCCAAAATTTCTTTCCCGTCTTCCAACCTGCTCTAAAACTTCTTCAGGCCTCCAGATTACCTGGCAGGGCCAGCTCAGCGCCCTGGGGAGCAGATTGCCGAGTGATGTCTCTGGTATCGCTATTGAGTGCCAAGCTTGGGCAACTGGAGGAGGAGGCAGGATGGGCTCTCCCCTTGCTGAACTTGGCTGGAATAAGTTAAAAATAAGGATGAAACTTCTCCATGCAAATCCTTAGAGCAATGACCTGCATGTAGTGAGCACTTCTTGAATGTGCACTTCAGATTCTTGTGTGGTGCTAAAAATACCCAAATTTATAATAACAGACCTGCTTTGGCTGTTGTTACAAAACAATGTTTGGAGGGACAACAACTCATATTAAAGCATATCTGACCTTCTCCTGCCAGGAATACTGCAGGAGTGTGCAAAAGCTGATACGAAGAGAGCTTTTAGTTTACCATATATTCCTTTGTCCCTAAGAGGAAGATAAATAAAACAGTAAGAAATGCCCTGAATCCTGCTTTTCCCTTGAAGCACCATTGAAAATGTGCTGCTGTGTTGAAGTGTTTAAGCATCAAAACGAGGGGAGATTTTTCTGGAGAAGTTCAGCACAGACTGAGAATTCCCACTGCTGCTCAGTGGGAAGGGATCTAATCCTGGCCTTTCGTTTGGCAAGAGTTTGGCTTTTTCATAGTGTGGAGTGTCCCCGGCTGGGGGGGATGGGTGGTGCATGCTGGTACTTCCCTGTCAGACAAAACTGATGTAAAGAGAGGGAAAAACAAATTATCAGCTCTTGGATGTGAATTCTTTTAATGTTAAAAATGGATAAGCTGCACTCTTGAGAGGAGGGCAGAGGAGGGAAGGCTCAAGAAGCAGTGGGTTGAGAAGTGCTCCTGTTACTACTGATCTGCAGTATCAGGCTTTTAACCAAATCATTAAAAGCGTGATTTGCAAAGAAGCGCCTCCTCCTTACCTGCCCACGGTGACGGAGGAAAGGGCTGCACGGCTCCCACATGCAAATGAGGATTTATATGGCTAGAGCTGAAATATTTGGCAAGAGAGTGAGTGAAATTTAAGGTTACCTGTAGGCAGCTGTTGATCACCCTGTGGGTGTTTTATATGGCTATTTAATTGTTTGTTGCTCAGTACTAAATGAGCGTGACTTATGTGAATAACCACAGCAACACAAGTGCTTCTGTACCTGAGTTAAAGGACCTTATTTGAGAAACAAATGCTTAACTAGTAATACCATAGGCCTCGTGCACTTTATAAAGTCTGTACTTTATATCTGATAAAAAGGAAAGAAGGTCTAGTTCTTAAAAATAAAGCACAAACAATTTTAAGGACTTTTTCTTCCCTCCCCCTCATTTTCTTTTCTTTTCCCAGGTTGCAAAAGTAACACCCAATAACGAAATGAAAACAATCTGAAGAGTTGCATTCAGTGGAGGAGGGAAGAGGTAGTCCAGACAGCTGGAGCATGTCTGCGCCAGAGTCTCGGCTCTTTTCCTTCTGCTAGTCTAGTGCCACTCCAAGAATGCAGACAATGCTGGCTAAGACTGTTTCATATTTGATTTCCACACTTAAATCTGTGCTCGTTAAATGAAACCCCATTGTCAGGCTGGCACACATCCATGCTGCCTCCTCCGGTCCGCTTAAGAGCTTGCTGCCTGTGTTTGGGTGTCCTGCTCGTATCCCATCAGTGAGGATCAGGTATGCAAAGAGCGTTTTGCTGGTTTTGTGCTGCTCACGGTTTTGCAGCAAAAGCTTTTTGGACTTTTCTTGCAACAGTATCCATGGATAACCCTCATAAATCTTGGTCTGAGGGTAGACAGAAGCACTGCACAGAAGGGATGTGGTTTGCTGCAGCTTCAAGAGCGGTGGATCAGTTGGGCGCTCGGCTGAAGCCCGTCTCTTGGCAAGCGTATTGGGTTTTCTGTGAGGGGTTTTTGGTTGTGTCTTTGGTAACGGGGAAAGGGCTATGGAGATGGCCCTTTAAGAAGCTACCTGAAAAGCTCCCCCTTTTCCTCTGTCAGACCCACCTCTGACCAGGGCCAAGCCAATCGGCGCCCCTGCGAATTCATGTATTTAGGGGGAGTGCACGACATGCCTCACGCTCTCTCTCTGGCACCGGCCCTGACCAGCACGGCCCCAGGTGCAGGTGATGCGGCCCTGGCCTTGCCCGGCTGGGCTTGGCTGGCCCCGACCACAATTTAAGCTTAAGCCCCACTGCAGCTTCATCCTGAAAAAAAGAGAGAGAGCTGGGATCTCCATAACCATCGGAGGAGACCTACAGCAGAGAAAGGAGTGGGGCCTAAGGAGAACAACTTTGAAGAACACCAAGGTCAGTTTGAAGGAAAGAAAGGAGAGGGAGGAGGATGCAGAACCCAGGTTTCCCCTTTGTTTTTCCCCTTTTCATGCTGAAAGGGGGCAGGAGAAATGCTGTGTGTTGGAAGCAAAGCAGTGACTGTGAATAACAAAGGATCATTTCATATCCACTGTAAAATGCCAGGGAGGGCATGAAAATCATTAATCTTATTAATAAAGCTTAGGGGATTACACAATCCAACAGCTGTCCAGTCCTTCAGACTGCAGACCCTCTTGGCCTTTCTCTCCCCCATAAGCTGGTACTATGATCTGATACCTGCTCGTACATCATCCGTGCAGCGTGACTCTCCATCCAGTAAATGCCAGCAATGCCAAAGCAGGCAGAGCTCTGCCCACAGGAGTTTGCTGCCTACTCCAGCACAAAAGGAGGGAGAAGGGGTAGGATGAGGCTGTGGTACCAGGCTGTGGTACCAGGGGGTGTGTTGCTGGAGCAGGAGGATGCACTGGCCATGCTTTGAATCTTCAGATGCCTCAGAGGAGTCCACTGCTGGGCTGTTGTCATGGAAACACTTATTTTGGGGGATTCAAGACTGGCTCCAAACAAAGGTTAAAAGGAAGAACGAAACCCAAGGGGCTGGATGTGCAGAAGGTGAGATTTTCCTCAGCACAGTGAAATTTGCCTACAGCTGAACGAGCAGCAAGTCCTCCAAGGTATGTCAGGGCTGGAGGTAAGCTGGAACTGGAAATTGATGCTGAGCCTTGTGCAGGAGCCACTTGGGAGCACATTGCTTGGGCCTGGCTCTGCTCTGGGTCACCCAAAAGCCTGTTCCTTCTCCTGCCCTTACTTCTCATCCTCCAACAATGCTGCTGCCTAAGGTTCTACCTGGAGCAGAGATGATGTGTGCTGGATGGTGGTTATTTTCCACACCTCTTTGCTGTTCAGGTAACAGATCATAGAATCACAGGATTATTTGGATTGGAAGAGACCTTAAAGCTCATCCAGTTCCACCCACCTTGCCATGGGCAGGGACACCTCTCACCAGCCCAGGCTGCTCAAAGTCCCATCCAACCTGGCCTTGAACACTTCCAGGGAGGGGGCATCCACAGCTTCCCTGGGCAACCTGGGCCAGTGCCTCACCACCCTCACAGTGCACAATTCCTTCCTTATACCCAGCCTTTAAATTCAGAGACCCAAGCTGTGTATGCTGAAGGTGTCTCTCTTTAGTTGAAATACCTCTAGTGAGGTGGTACCACTCCTGATGCGATGACTTTTTGCAGAGGTTTGGAAAGTCAATGTAGGAAAAGGGGAACAGAACTGTGTAACCCAGGTAGTTGGTCCCAGTGATCCCAGCAAGTGAGCAGTATCAGCATGGGCCAAGGAGAGGAGATGCAATGGCAGCAGCGAATCGTACTGAGGTGCCTGTGATGCTCACTATGCTGAAGGCAAAATGAGCCTCCCACTGAAATGGAGACAAAAGCATTTTATCACTTTTCTGACTTGCTGAGATTATTTTTTTATAAACTTTTAAACTAAAGAGCTCACTATTTTTGTATTTCTTCTTTTCCAACTTGGAAAAAAACCCTGTTTTTTGTATTCAATCTCCTTTATTCTGTGTCCAAAAAGGAATGTGATGGTAAGGAAAATTAGTAGCTTGAATATCATGAACTTATTAAAGAAAAATGTGGATTTTTTTTTTACAGGGAAGACAAAATCATTGAAACCATATTTTACTAAAAATACTAGAAGAATAAATCGTAACAGGTATAGTTATGTAGTTTGTCATACAGCATAGAAGTTCAGTGGGTGGCCTTTAAAACTTAAACTGCATACTTGAATACTAACAAAGTTCCTCATTATAAAACAGAAAAATGGGATATGAACTGGCAGAACTACTGTGCTGGTGGGATATTTAATGTGCACCCTCTGTAAGCCCTGCACAGCACATTTGATCCACAATATTAGCAAGAAAAGTGCTTTCCTCTTCAAATACTTCATCCAGATTAACTCTGCTCCCTTGTCATCTCCTCCGTTTGACACCATGCAGTCTCCTGGACTTGTCACCCCAACTGATGGCTCCTTGCACTGTGTTACCACCTCCTGCTGTCCTCAGCAGCTCTGTGCAGCAGGGGTGGTTGAGCTCAGCTCTGAGGCAAGTGGGTGCAAAGCTGGTGGAAAAGCGACACAAGCTGTCTCGGTGCTGGGTGCTCAGCCCTCAGCACCCACTCCCCACCTCTCACACCTCCTTGTCCTGGCACATCCGTGCCCTGGAGGGTTTTGCTATGGAGCCAGCCCCATCTTTTGTGCCAGCTGAGAAGCTTTTCCATGCTCTTAGAAGAGCTTTTAAAAATAATTTAAACTTCCTTTGATCCAACAGCTCTGCAGGTAAAGAACCAATGCCATTAGAGCAAGCAATAACTAGCTGCTGTGCCTTGACCTCCTGGGAGGGGAAGGGGCTCTTCTACCAGGCTGAAGAACCGCCCTGCCTTTCCCCCTGCTCCAGAGCACAGAGAGTGGCTTTAACTGGGGTTGGATTGTGCACTGCAGAGACAGGAGCAGGGCACTGCTGGTGTGTGCTCAAGGCCAGTTGGGAGTGTTCTGGAGGAAAAGGTAAAATTCACCTTTTGTAGACTTGGGTATAACATCACATCCTTCTTGTGCACAGCGTGGCCACAGACAGGTGGTGGGTACGTGTTGTTGCCGAAAGGCCAAGGAAAACTGTTGTGTGCATCTCCTGTGTTTGCTATTCCTGTGCTTCTGAGCCACCTTGGAGCACCTGGAAGAACGCAGCCAGCCCTGATGAGGGACACTGACCACCGGCACTGACCACTGCTGCATGGTGACTTGGATTGGGATTCTTCTGCAGGCAAATGAGTAGCAAGGAAGAAACTCAGGATGCCATAAATGTGAGGGCCTGAAGGAAACCCCAGGCAGCACAGAAAGGAAGGTTATAAAGGTCGTGAAGGTTATTTTAATGTCTGCTTCGTGCTGCTTTCATTACTCTAAACAAGGAATGAGTTTGGGTTTGGTTGTTCATCCAAAGTGGTGTCAAAGGCACAGCAGACACTTGTGTTATTCACCAGGTCCCCATCAGGACAGGGTATGTTTCATCACTGCCCTTATTTCAGAACCAGTTTTGACGGGGAGAGTATCTGTGTTGATGATGGGGAGCTGACAGACAGGCACATTTTCATTCATTTAAATACACCAACAGTGACCCTGGCTTGCAGGGAGTAATCTTTTTACCAATGTAAGCATGTTGGATCCACATGTATCTTTGCTCCTGACTTCAGGCAGATGAATGGAAAGAAGAGCTGAAGATGTGCTAAAAGCAAGAGTCTGGGTCTGAGGACATGGAAAATAGCACGATCTGGGCTGTAATTTCTGGTGCGACGTAGGAGACTGCAGCAACACGGATCCAGAACCTTGAGCAATATTGTCCTGTGGTTTGATTTCCATTCTGGCACACTAAATGCAGTAAGGCCCAGGCTTTTTTCATGGCGCTTTCCATTTTTGATTTAGGGAATTTGAAAAATACTTGTCTTGAGGCTGAGCCTGAAGTTATAATCTTGGCATATCCATACCATAAAATTCCCGTGGATAAAAGCAGAAACATCTGGATTCATGAGTGGATGTTGGCTAAATCCACCAGGAAAAAAAAAAACCTTCAAGGGATCCTAGAGGGTTCTAGCCAGAATAAATAATACAACAAAATAAGAGTGCTATTAAGAGCAATTGTAATACTGAAGCTGAATCTTAAGATGAGGGCCAAGCCCTTTTCACAATCTGCTTTTCCAGCTAAGAGCCCTTCAATTTACACTTAACACACATGTGGCTGATGGAACAAAGAAAAAATTGAAGGAGGATGAAAGCAGTGCAGAGATTATTTAGCCTTGCTGGTTTAGCTCCAGGCACATCATTTAAATTAGTAGATGATCAGTTTCCAGTTTGTTTTAAATTCTCTGGCAAGAAATTTTACACTCTATTCCAAAGTTGGATATGCTTAAAACTTGAATTTTTTCTCTTAAGTCTCTGCCATTTTGTTTTATTTCTTAAGGCAAGACTCTGGAAGTGCTCTATGGGAGACACCTGAGTGCTGGGGCTGCCTGTGTCACCGAGGGGACCCTGGGACAGGGCAGCAGCTGCTCCTTTCCTCCCTCACCTCTGTGTGGCTGAGCCCTGCCTTGCTGAGCCAGGAGCTGTACCCAAGCTCAGCTGCACCCAAAGTCAGGAGAAGCGGCCAAAATTGCTGTGTCTCAAAGACTTGTAGCATCTTGGCCTGAAGCATGTTGTACCAGCACCACTTGCCTGGTTTAAAGGTAGTGGAAGGAGGAAGGTTTGTGTTGCTTGTCCTTTGCATCTCCTCTTGGTGTTTTCAGGGTTAAGAGCTGCTGAACAGGACATCCTCTCGCCACCCAGCCCTTCCTGCATGGGTCTCCTCTGCCCACCTTTTGCCAGGTCTCCAAATCTGCCACAAGCACCAGGTCATGCAAAGTGTCTTCCACTGCAGTGATGGGTAAAACTACACCCACAGCCAGGTGATTAAAAAGCCCTTAATACACCATCCCTTCCTGGCAGATGTAGTCAGCATTTCTCATTGCCTGTACTTTGTCCATGCAGATCTGCCTTACTGACCCTCACTGCCCTTGCACGTTGCCCTTTTCAATTCCTGGAAAGCCTTGGGCATTTGCCTGCTTTGTAAACTTCAGTCAACGCAGTTTGGGGTGAGTTGCTTCCTTGTGGAAGAAAAACCCTGCCAGTCAGTCCTTGTCTTGTCCTCCCTCCTTTTGCCGTCATCCTCCCTGTTGTCCATACTACAGCCGACCAGTCAAATAGCCCCTGAGGGATCTGTTGGTACCACTCTAGTAGGTCCTCCTCCATGGAGAGACTTTAGGTTGTCCTCTACAACAATGCTTCCTGTGAGGATCTGCCAATGTTTAATGCTCTCTGAAGACAGACACTAGGCTCTGAACAATGGGATACACACTTTGGGTGAGGCAATACTTGACGTGTGACTGTAAATACCAGTGATACACCAGTGGTGACGTTTATGCTCCCTTATGTTCCTTACAAGGGATAATTGTGTTTACATTGAAGGAGTGGAAGTTTGATTTGTCTTAAAATAGCCTAAACACATCTAGGAAATCCGTAGAATGGGATGCCCCAGTATTTCTTAGGAAATTATTTTTAGCAGATCTTGTTATTTAATTTGCTGCCAACATCTGTCATTTCCTCCACTGCGTATTGCCCAGCACCTACAGCCTGGCTCTGAATCGAAAGCTCACAGGACCTAACGTAAAAAAATTCAGAGCACCACTCTCTATTAGCAGAGCATCTCAACCACTGAAGTGAAATGAGAAATACATCTGCTCATAGGTGTTACCAAAAATCTGGTTTCAATCAGCTGCTGTCACTGCCACTGTCCCCATTTGCAGTCGCATTCTTCCACCTATCTTGAAGCTGAAGGCAATAGGAAAGTCTGCTGAAACCACAGGGCTCTTGGTTAGGAGCACATAGTTCGAGAAGCTGAAGAATGAGAGATGAAGCAGAGCTAAATTTAGAATATTGGATAGGAAAATATCTGTATCTTCAGTGCTCTGTGTTTTTATTTTGCAAAGCACACCTTGGTTTTGCATGGCTGTTTGCAGATTGTACTGACTCAAAGAAGGCTCGTGGGGAAAAAAGGCTTTGATGTCTTCAGTAAACAAATAGCAGTGTTAAAAGATCTTCAGTTCTTGTTAGCATGCTGCAAACAGCTACGTTGTAAGAAAAATAAACATTCCAAGGTTGATGGAAGGGTTGGAAAGCCATAAAGTACTGTAGTCAAATCCTTGTGGGACATCAGAAGTGACAGTGACATGAAAAAAACTTTATCTCTCTTCTTCTGAATTAAATAGATAAGAACAAACTTGTTCATGGTTTATCAGCCATGCGGTGGGACTACACGGGTATAAAACCCATGGCTAAACCATTACCAAGTCAATAAATCATCCAAGTCACAAGAATACTATCAAATGCCCTGGAGATCTCCCAGTCCAACCACTGGGGTGAGGAGAGGAAGACTCACCCTTTCTCCAACCCCAGTTTTGATTCAGTTTCCTCAGGGCCTCACTCACTGCCACAGGGCCACCAGCACCTCTTAACCCTCACAGCTTCAGGACCCTGTCCCAAAAAACTTCTTTGGCTTTTACCTTGTGCAACCAGCCAATTTCTGTGAGTGAGGTGGCACCGGGCACACATCATGCCCCCAGTGAGGAGGATGAGGGTTTCATGGCCACGTGCCCACCTGAGCTTTTACTCTGTAGAGCTTCTTTAACTTGTCTCATTGCATCATTTACAACATCTCTTTATAAGTGCAAAAGCGTAGGAAATGCCTCAAAGAAAAAAGCTAAATTATGATCTCAATTACACCAGCGTAACGCTGGGGATGTTAATTTACATTTATAACCTTTTAACAATCCA